ACCATGAGCCAGCAATGTGCCCTTGTGGCCAAGAAGGCCAATGGGATCCTGGGGCTGCATTAGGCAGAGTGTTGCCAGCAGGTCGAGGGAGGTGATCCTGCCCCTCTACTCAGCCCTGGTGAGGCCTCACCTGGAGTCCTGTGTCCAGTGCTGGGCTCCCCAGTACAAGAGAGACATGGCGCTACTGGAGAGAGTCCAGAGGAGGGCTACAAAGACGATTAGGGGACTGGAGCATCTCTCCTATGAGGAAAGGCTGAGGGAGCTGGGCCTGTTCAGCCTGGAGAAGAAAAGACTGAGAGGGGATCTCATCAATGCGTACGAGTATCTAAAGGGAGGGTGTCAAGAGGATGGGGCCAGACTCTTCTCCGTGGTGCCCAGCGACAGGACAAGAGGCAACAGACATAAACTGAAACACAGGCATTTCCGTCTGAACCTGAGGAAAAACTTCTTTCCTGTGAGGGTGACTGAGCCCTGGAACAGGTTGCCCAGAGAGGTTGTGGAGTCTCCTTCGCTGGCGTTATTCAAAACCCACCTGGACGAGATCCTGTGCAATGTGCTCTAGATGACCCTGCTTGAGCAGGGAGGTTGGACTAGATGATCTCCAGAGTTCCCTTCCAACCTTGGCCATTCTGTGATTCTGTGATTCCATATGGGACTCCACATCAAGTCAATGATGTAGCACCTTTAGTGTTTTTATGATTAGAGAGGTTTTCTCAGTTTCACTTTTCAGCTACCTTGAACAGAAAGGTTCCTGCCCATTCTGTGATTCTGTGATTCCATATGGGACTCCACATCAAGTCAATGATGTAGCACCTTTAGTGTTTTTATGATTAGAGAGGTTTTCTCAGTTTCACTTTTCAGCTACCTTGAACAGAAAGGTTCCTGCAAGAAGATATCAAGGTTGTCAGCATCAGCAGCATGAGATGATACAATTAGAAATCGCCAGGCTAAATGCATGTCTACGCTGTTCAGTGGGGTAGACAGTGATCCTCAAGTTGCCATTGATTGACCTTGTGGAATTGGAAGCCATATAACACGACCGAGCCCAGGTTAATTATTTTAGAGTGCAGCAGCATGCTTAAAATTTGAATTTACTCCTTGGAATTTTGCACATAGTTGTGATCCATGATTGAAGAAAATTCCTATTATGCAAGTGACTGCCCATCCAGCCTATCAGTAAATATACATTAACTAGCTTTTAACAAATGCATAGCTATTAGGAAATAACTACTTTTACATCTGACTGAGCAGAGGTTTTACCCATGAGATCTGAAGGCTCTCTGAATCAAGGAACTAATCCTTCCTTTCCATATATAAGGAAAAAGGTAACAGCTGCAATGATCTTCCTGTGGTATTACTGGTGACAAGGTCACTACACTAATAAATACACTAACTTCATAGCACAGCCAAGGTTGGAAGGCACCTCTGGAGGTCACCCAGTCCAGCCCCTCTGCTCAAAGCAGGGTCAGCTAGAGCAGGTTGCTCAGGGCCATGTCCGAATTCACTCACTTTATATTATATTATTTTACTTAAATTAGACCTATTTACTTCCACGTTTGACCTTGCTTTCTAAATAAATCAGTATGCCTAGGGTCTATGTTACTGAGCTTCTGCCTAGGACTAGAACCTCCAGTATTGGCCTGGAATTACTGCACAGGGAGTCAGGAGAGTCCTACAGTCAAGAACATGGGCCAGAAGTCAGGGCATTAAGGGAAGTCGAGCTTCTCCACTGACAACAAATTCTCTCTTGAGACTTTAAGCACATTATTTTGTAAGGAATTATTAGAGGAACCTCCACTTCGCTAAAGGGATTTAAGTGTTTGGCCAGCAAAATATCGGTCTCAGCATTCAAAATAATAAAAGATCTCAGGGGAAAAGATTTACATAGTTCAAAAATATGGTGGCAAAGAACACTGCTATCAGCCTGTTTTTCAGAAGTAGTGTATATTAGACATAAATCAGATCTTAAATTGAATTTGTTAAATCTTAGTAGCAGAGTGGCACTAACACACCTCTCTGCATCTTACTGCCACGATTTTTACCTCATGCTTTGCCACATGCCCCACTTGAGTGTGAAGTGGCAGGCCTCCTCTGGCTACCCTGGGCCACGCAGAGGCTGGCGCTGGTGAACTGCTGACCACCCGGCAGTGGTCAACCTCAGGAGAAGTCAGCACCCCTGCCCAGGCAAAATGCCATCACCCCCTAACACACCCTCTGCATTATTAGCTGTATGTAATTTTTGTAGTCACCCAATACATTATACACAGGCACATATATATAAACACCCACACATGCCTGTGCTGAGCAGGGCCTTTTTGATGAGCATGTCCCATAGAAGAGGGCTGAGAGCACCTTGGGCAGCAGCAACAGCACTGCAGCTGCCAGCTCCCTCGCAGCCTGCCCAACACTCATGGCCAGCAGCCGCACGAAGACGGGGCGAG